GAACTTCTTGCTGCCTTCCGTCGTCTTAAGCTTGTCCCTGATCCAACTCAGGTCCAGAGTGATGTGACTGAATTAATTCCTCAGCCTACCGTTATAGCTCCTTCCTTCAAACCTAAAGCGAAAAGGGCTAACATGCCGAAAGCAAGAAAGTCAGTACTGACTACATCCTTGCTAAGCTCACTTGCTAATGATATTAAATCAACAAACGATGCAGTAGCGCAAATAGCAATCCATGCCCCTTCGTATCACTCCATTAAATTTGCAGTAGATTCTAAGCAGTTAATTTCTAATCTCCCAAACTGCAGTCATAACGACCCCCAATCAATAGTATTATTTATAGAATCTGTGGACAAATTGTTAAAGTTTCCCAAGGTTGATTTTTTGAGTCTTTTGGTATCCTTGGCAGTTAAAGTCGATGACCAGATTAGAGAATGGTGGTCTACTATGATGCACCATTCATGGTCCCAATTAAGGAATTTACTGTTCACCAAGTATGTAAATCGTTCTGATGTGATATTACTATGCGACAGATTTATTCATAGGCTGCAGAGGGAAAACGAAACATTTGAAGCTTTTGTGTTGGATATCAAATCAAAATCAGCCGCGATGAATCTTAATTACCCAGAATCGCACTTAATCTCGTTAATATGGGCCCATTGTAATAGACAAACCTTTGGTATTCTTAAATTTTTTCCGGAACCCCTCACATTCTTGGATTTGGATAGTGTCATTCAAAAAATCGAATCAACTATACGGAGGGAAAAGGGGTTTACCTTACCAAGCACGGTACCCGCAAGATTAAATGATATTCAGAGACCTCAAGTACAACCTTCCGATTCTATCCCCAACGGTTCGCGTTTTTGTAGATATTGCCGAAACTATGGGCACTCAATAGATAATTGCTTCAAACGTAACAATAAACGAGAAGGCTATCCAAAAAACTAGTTTGTTTCTTAACCCCTAGACATGATGTACCTAGTTCTAATTGCGTTCCTTTAGTTTTAGTCGAAATCTGTAGCCTGAAGGTTTTTGCTCTATTAGATACGGGTTCAAGCTACAATTTCATATCGTCAAGGTTTGCTTGCAAATTAAAAAAAATTAATAAAATTAATTACACTACAGTCTCGTCAACCGTTATGCTTCCAGACTCTTCAATGATTAAGGTTAAAGGGTGTACCAAACTATTTGTTAAGATTTCAAATTATTCGTGGCCGATACAATTTTACGAGTTTTCAAATTTATATTTCGATGTGATCTTGGGCATCCCGTCACTAAATGCAATGAATGCTGTGTTAAACTTCGAGAAAAAATTCATTTCGTTTAAATTTAACCCGGATAATAAAATTAAATTTAGTGACCACAAATGTCAGCAGACGGAAATGCTGCACTCAATTTGCGAAATTAAATTTAATCTAAATAAATCGCAAAGTGAACAGATCGATGACATTAAATCCAAATATTCAGATGTTTTAACAAAGAGTATGGGCATAGTAAAAAATTTTGAGTATAATATTAAGGTCTCTTCGGACCAGCCCATTTATAAAACCCCATTTTATTTAAATCCAGTAAAGCAAGCTGAACTAGATGTATATCTTCATGAGTTGTTAGACAACGGAATTATTCGGAAGAGTAGGTCCCCATACGCTAGCCCTGTGTTTTTTGTACCAAAGAAGGATTCGGGGAAACGTTTAGTAGTAGACTACCGAGCCATTAATAAAATAATACAATACGACCCTTTCCCTCCAGCTAACCAGCAAGCAATTTTCAATTATTTACACGGTGCAAAAATCTTTACGTTATTTGATATGAATTCTGCCTTCCACCAGATACCATTAACAGAAAGTTCCAAGAAATATACTGCCTTCGTTACTCCTACCGCCCATTATGAATATAACTACTTGCCCTTTGGTCTTAAAGTCAGTCCTACGGGATTAAACAGGCTAATCGCCAAAGAATTCTCTGATATACGCTTTAAATTTTTCCTCAATTACTTTGATGACTTCATAGTTTTTTCTAAGACCCCGTCCGAGCACTTAGGTCACTTAGAGATTGTTTTAGAGCGATTTCGTAAATGCGGTATTACTCTGAATCCAGCAAAAGCTCGTTTCGCGATGTCTAAACTTAGAATCTTGGGGCATGTAGTTTCGTCGGGATGCGTTCAGTTAGATCCTCAGCGGATTGAAGCCATAAGTAACTTGCCAGTTCCTAAAAGCGTGAAGCAAGTGCAGCAATTTATAGGGATAGTATCGTTTTGCTCGAAATTTATTAGTAACTTTTCAGAACTAGTAGCTCCTCTTAACGAGCTAAAGAAGAAAAACGTTAAATTTAAAATAACAGACGAGCACGTTACAGCAATCGAAAACCTCAAAAGAGCCATTTGTGAAGCTCCAGTGTTGCGACTCCCAAATTTTTCCAAACCATTTATTGTACGTACTGATGCGAGTAATTTGGGTATTTCTGGGGTGTTATTGCAAAAGTTAGAAGATGGAATCCATCCGATAGCATTCGTTTCAAAAAAACTAACACAAACGGAAAAGAGATATTCGACTTATGAAAAGGAATCCTTAGCCGTTATTTTTTCCTTAGATAAATTTAAGGACTACTTGACAGATTCACACTTTACCTTACAAGTTGATTGTGATGCTATACGTTGGCTTGTTAATCACCCTTCCCAACTATCAAAATTTGGCCGTTGGCTTCTAAAGCTATCTAAATTTAATTTTTCTATTGAGCATATTCCCGGTCCCTCTAATGAAATCGCGGATGGATTGTCTCGATTATTTGACGATACTCAAGATCCAATTACCTCTCCGTGTAATATGTCAGTACCATTTTTGAATTCAATTATAGAACTTCCCGAGTCGTTTATTTCAATTCAAAAACATCAACAGACTGATGAATATTGCAAACTCATCCAAACCCGCATCCAAGGCGGGCAGGATGTAAATAACTTTGCGATTGAAAACAGCCTGCTTATTCGATATGTCGGAAGGAAACGTCTTAAGAGGGTGGTAGTTCCAGAGAAATTGTACAATTTAATTATATATTACTACCACGATTCAAAAATTGGGAACCATAACTCTATTACTAAAACCTATAGGTCGGTGGCTAAACGATTTTGGTGGAATGGGATGTATAAAAGGATTAAGGATTATATTTTAAGTTGCCACTTGTGTCAAACGTGCAAACCCCTTAATATTCAAGTTAACGCTCACCTTGCTAGTACCCCACCAACTGCTGTTTGGGATAAGGTGTACATTGACTATGTAGGTCCAGTTATTTCCTCCGAACAAGGCTATCGTTTCATGCTTGTGTGCGTAGATAGTTTTTCGAAATGGTTAAGGGTGTATCCTACACGGAAGTCCACAGCTAAAGTTACTTGTAAATACCTTACAGAATTATTTTCTACGTACGGCCCCCCCAAAAATCTTATTTCAGACAACGCTAAATGTTTTTCCAGTACCTTAGTGAGCCAGCTTTGCATGCAGTGGGGTATACGTCACGGATTTTCATCTCCATATCATCCCGCTTCCAATATGAGTGAAAGATGTAACAGAAATCTCAAGTACAACTTGACACTCTTGATTAAGCAGTATGCCATGCAACATAAATCTTGGGATCAGGTCCTTCCTTTTTTTGTGTTAAATTATAACAGCACCTACCATGACGCTATAGGTACTTCTCCTGCAACAATCTTCCTAAACCGAGACATTACAACCCCTCTAGACCATATCTGGAATCTCGAATCCTTCCTATCCCGTCCCAATCCTCTTCCCAGGTGGAGATTCACGAACACCTTCAGAGAGCTCACGAAAAGGCAAAAAAATATTATAATAAAGGGAAGTTACCTACCACCAAATTTCGTATCAATCAAAAGGTACTCGTCAAGCAGTTTGCAACCTCTGTTCCGCACACCTTAGATCAAAAATTTACCCCCTTATGGTCCTCTCCTAAAGTGATAAAAGGTTTTACCTCTCCAGTGTCGGTTTTATTGGAAGATGCTGAAACATACGAAATCTCCAAGTCACATATTCAGTTTTTGCGCCCCTACATTGAAAGACCTGCTTAAACGATTTATTGTTCTGTAAATTATAGATATATGGGTAATTAATTGTAATTAATTATTTTGAGTTGTTTGTCCTTGTCAACGCTTCGCTTTCTGTTGGCAATGGGGGATGTTACGGTACACCCTGTAGGTACATGAGATCGGCATTCATCAGAGTTCAAATAAGTATTGAAACGATATCGCAGTTGGCACGCATGGCAATTGTTGTCTTGCCTTTTTTTCCTTTTCAAACTGTCGAATCGTTAAGGTCGGTTGTGCAAATATTATAAGTACCTACCGAGTAAGTAACTCATGTAATTATTTATTGTTCTTCTGATACACTTGTGTGATTGTGATAGTATAGTAATTAGCATTGTTAAGGTGAATTGAGTTAGTTTTCATGCCTTATTATGGATTGTAGTTGTGCATGTGTCTCATTGATAATCACTCAAATGTCGCTTGATATAAGCACAATATGAATGATGTAATTATGTATTGGTGATCGTCATGGAGACGTCAATTAGTTCTTGTATTAAATACGTGTTGCATGTAGGTGAGATTGGAACCGGTCAGTCGCCACCAAAGATACCCACGGTACGTCACTACTCACTACAGGACGATAAGACCACCATTTTGGGCGTCGCGATCGGCTGGATCTGCTGCGGGCCGGGACAGTCGGGTGGAGGTATATCTACCGCTCCTTTTTTCGCCGCTCACCTTTAATTTAATTAAAATATAATATATAGTCGCGTCAAACTTGGACTGTGATAAAATGGTTATTGCTAATTACTAGTTAACGCACATGGTGCACCCTATTCTCTATGTATTACTAATTATCTGCGGCTTCCCCGCTTATTATTATCTTCTATTAGTATTAAGCGAGTCGCTTCACCGCAACTCGCTACAGCAAGTTTGCAACACACCATACTTCCATAAGAGCAATGTTAAGGTTTTTGACACATTTTTTCTTAATTATGCAATGTGAAAAAAGTTGTGATACGTCAACGTAATCTGCGGTTAGAGTTGTACGCTCCTATGTTTTATACGGTTTAATACAATTAATAATAACGCCTCTGTGAATTTTTTTATTGAAATAATAGCAGTCCACACTGCATAATAACGAACAATGATACAATTTTGTAATAAACATAGGAGCGTACAATATTTTTTTAAGGAATTTTATAGCATTTGAGAAATTGTTAGAATTCAAATTTACTATCAAAAAAGTGTCAAAAACCAATATTTTATTATTGCTTGTAAGGGCGAAAGTCGCTTAGATTTCCTATTAATCGAAATAGTCTCTCTCAACTTCAGGTAAAACCCTAGGCATGTCTTAGGGACAATAGAGGTCATAAACTAATTTGCATACATAATAGGTTAAAGTGAAGGCACTTCTATCTGTGATTAAGTGCATGGTTTTGTGTTGACAATTTTGCATCTTGAATGGACATAAAGATGTAATTATGTTATGGAAATGTGCGATAATTACTTAGGTAATTTTAAGCAAGAAATGCCGTACGGAAAAGATTAGAATGTACTTAATTACACCAAATTGGTGTATATCAGATCACTGCTGTGGTGTAACAGTTTATCATGATTTCAATGATTCTGTAAAGTAAAGAAATTGCACTTTTTCCGTTTTAATACCACTAATCACATAAAAATACAGTAATAAAAACGATATAGTTGCGTAACGAATTATTCTTTTTGGCAGTCTTCATTCATATATACGGCGCGGATGTCAATACTTCGGCATCGTCGAGGATCGACCAATTCCGGAAGGAGCGATTTATAATAAAATTGCTTTAATTTTTTTTCCATTTGATTGTGCCAAAATATTTTGTCTCTGTAACATTTATAAAGGTAAGTAAACAATGCGATTTAGGAAAACAAAAACCTTTCAATCTCTTCGACATGAATGCCTCCTTTGGTGTAGACAATGAAGTAACATTTTTGACGTCCAGTTATTTCCAAAATGCCTTGTACTTGGTAATAGTAGTTATGTTTTTTTTTTAGTGTAAGTTTGTTTTCATCTTTATTAATTTCGCAATAATCAAACAGTTTCAATGCACCTGCTTGTAGTGGAGTATTGTCACCACTTTTTAGGGAACTTTTGATCTCAATTACGGCGTTGTTCTCCACTAAGCCGTCTGGAGAGCATGCTAAAAATGGATTGTTTTCATCAATGATTAGGCCACATCTTGTGACCTGCACATTGTACATATCTTCAAATAGCTCAATAGCTGCAGATTCACTGTCCAAACCAAAACGGGTGTGAATACTTCCGATGAATGTAGAGTATAATATAGACGACACCGTTTTGGCGGTATTGGTGGTTTTCCGCAATTTGCAAATTTTTCCAAAATTTGAAGCAGTTAATCTCTTTTTTCGTTCAGCAATCCATATGTCGCTTTTAGATTGATGCAATGTTCCTTCTGCAATTTGTCTTTTGTTAACATTTTTCAGTTCTAGCAAAAACTGAGCCATCTTTTCTTCATATTGTTCCTCTGGTAGATCGGGTGTAAAATCGTCTTCTACTAAACCATAATCATTGTCTGCTGCAGCAAATGTTCTAGTTTTTGGATAATCTGCAATAATTATATATATTAATATACGATGCTTGCTTACAAAAACATAAAAAAGTCAAAACGTGCATCATAATATTCCAAACAGTTTTGATTTTCACATTTTTTACTTTTAGTAACTGAAATGCATGCAAATAAATAAATGTACGTAATACATACACTTCCTTATTTTCTTAGAACGCCGAGCTGTCTTAAAACTTAAATGCTTTTGCGTGTAGTGCCCTAATGACGTATTGCATAGTTCGCGATGCAGTAAAGACAACAAGTTTCCTTTGCTATTGTACGAAATAGCAGCCATTTCACATCGCAATTGATACGAGTTTTTTAAAGAAAAGTTGATCCTTTTACCCCCTACAAACTTGGCAATCACTGAATTATATGTTTCCGCAGGATTTGTATCGGTGTCGTATAAAAGACTTGAAGCATTATCAGCAAGACGTTGTACAATAATGTTTATTGCTTGAAGCAATCCACATTGTAAGTACGTTTCAACTAAATCTTCCTACAAAAAAATTAAACGTTTCATTGAATTAAAGAAAAACGTTGTTTACCTGGTCTTCTTTACCACCCCTGCAAAAATACTCTTGGCAGTGATCATGTTTGCCCAAAATATGGTATGGGCCATTTATTATATCTGACTTCAAAGCTTTAATCTTCTTATCAATGTCGATAATTTGTTGTTTTCGATACGCTATGGCCTTAACAACAGCGTTACGAAAGCGGCCCAAAGTATTCACGTTGCAAATATGGTTCCTTTTGGCTTTTGGAAAACGTACGTCTTTACTTAGGTCACTAAGTTTATTCACAAAGTTACGCAACAGATGATTACGACATTCAATTTTTCGAATGTGATACGAGGGACCGTATGGAGCTATTTCTGTTAAATGCTTATAGACACTGCTGTCCCCATCTCCAATAAGCCGATTGTATATAAGATTGTGCTGTTTTATAGATTGTTTGAAACCCTCTCCAATAATGGCAGATTCCATAGAAGTTGAAGATTTCTTCCAATTCTTGAAGCAATCGTGATCATCCTCACAACGGCCTCTAGCACAAAGAAAACAGTATTTGTTTTTAACTGCCATGTATAATATTTTTTTGGTTTTTGCACCGATAATACAAGCCTGTAAAAAACGTTTGAGTATTTCATATTACATGTACCTGTAATGCTACATACCACTCCTGAAAGTGCAGAATAATTTTTCCGATATGATCGTTTTGACCATGCTCCATCTGTTATTACTGCAATAGTTGGAACACCTTCATTATTTGTTTCTTCAGCAAGTTCGGCTTCTTCCTGTGCCGCTTCAGACATTAAATCGCTATTTACTGTATGTACGGCAGAGATGATCTGATTGTGGTAGTTTAAATATAAACCATTTGACATTTGAGGAATATCCATTGCCGCAAGCAGTTCAGAAAATTGACTGTACCCAATTCCAACCGTCAAACAACCGATAACAGCACTACGAGTAGCAGAACCAAAAGATGATTTGCCACCGTTTGTCTTGATGGTATCTAATTTTCCACACATGTTGCACTTGAACGTCAGTGTGCTTTCTAATCCCTCCAATTTCTCTCCTGTAATTTCCAAGTCATAAAAAGAACATCCAAAGCCGTTGTGTTTTAAAGATTTTAGAGAATTGAATAAATGATGTAAATCTACAATTCGCCGACCAGATAAACCCAAATCAGCGTTCATTTCATTTTCTTCTACATCGCTGTCGTTTATTGAGGAAGCATAGGAAAAGTATTTGGTTTCCATTTCTTCCTTTGAGGACAATGTATTGCTAGTGTCCATAATTTCTGATACAATAGGTATAGCAAAAGAATCGTCAATAGAGCAATCATTACATTGATCGGTAATGTAACATTCGTTTTCAGTACTGGGTAATATGCTACCATCTTCTATGTCATGTTTTTTCTCTTTTCTAAAAAAATATCTTTTGTAGTAACAAGAAAGAAAACTAAATGCAGAGTATTTTCATTACTTTAGACAATACTTTATAGTACTATTTTAATGTATAAGTACAAGGTGTCCACATTTTGACACTTTTGAATGTATATACATATATAAAGATAGAGGCATGTGATTTTTGTGAAACTTTTTTACATTTTTGAATATTTTGATGTTCTTTGTAGTTTTTAACATACAGGTTAAAAGTGACATGTTTGCTTTTTATTGCCCTTTGTATCTCAACTATCTATCAAACCAGTAAAAACAGTCTTTCATAGCGTTTTTACCGTAGACTGCAGTAATGCAATTAAATTTTTTTTTCTGAAAATGTTTTGTTCCAGTTGCAATTTTATTTTTTTTTATTTTTTAATTAAACACAATATACAGGCTGTTTAATAAAAAACGCCCCAAGCCGTAGCGTCTATAGTTTTCATTCGATTGTAATGATACAAAAACCATTTTAAATGGTTTCAAAAATACTACAAAAAAACCATAATTAAAACATTTTTAACCATTATAATCGAAGACAATTAAGTCATCTTAATTTTTTAATGGAATAATATATTTTTTTTATTTAGTTTGATTAATTTCTTCTTCACGAATTCAACGATGTATCACAATCTTATACTTGAATGCATTTTTCTACAAAAAAGGTAAATAAATACATTTTAAAAATGCTATGAATAACAATTGTTAATTGTTGAGAAGCTATAAAACGTCAATTTAATTATCTGCTGATTATTTCAAGTTTGTTGAAATAAATTCAATTGTTTGTTCTTCTAACGGAAAATGGATTTTAATCAATTAACCGGCATGCTGCAAGTGTACTCAACAATCAACAATTGTTTTCCATGGCATTTTTTAAATGTATTTATGTATTTACCTTTTTGTGGAAAACTGCATTAAAGTATAAGGTTGTGATACATCGTTGAATTCGTGAAGAAGAAATTTATCAAACTAAATAAAAAATACATTATTCTATTAAAAAAAATTAAGATTACTGTTAATTGTCTTCGATAATAATGGTTAAAAATGTTTTAATTATGGTTATTTTGTAGTATTTTTGAAACCATGTAATATGATTTTTGATTCATTGCAATCGGACGAAAACTATAGCTTGGGGCGTTTTTTATCAAACAGCCTGTATATACATTTTTTTAAAGAGTATAAATAAGTAAAATTAAACAATATATAAATTGTGTTAAAGAGTGTTGTTTAAAAAAAAACACAGAATTGTACCTATTATAACTCGAAAAAACAGATTATCAGACAAAAACTGAAACAAACACTGGAATCTACGTTAAAAACGCTATAAAATGCCGTTTTTACCTTTTTGATAGTTGAACTACAAGGGGTGATTAAAAATATAGATTTTTCAATTTTCCCCTCTATATCATTTTTGTATTTTATTTTTTAATATTATTTATTTATTATTTATTTAGTATTAGAAAACTAAAAGGGCTATGGATGGGCTATGAAAATTCTAATTACACCATTTTGTGTTATTCAAAAAAGTAAAAATGTCGAAATCGGTACATAAAACACAAATATTCAATATGAATAACATGATTATGATACGATTCACAACATAGGGTGCAAATAATTATAGCAATTCTTAAATTTATAATACTTACAATGCTGCAGCCTTCTTTGTTATCACTTTTCTGCTTTTTCTCCGTACACTCAAACTTTTTCGAGTCTTAGGCATTTTTCACTTACGCGCACAAGAATTACAATTTCAATAATTTGATGATATGCTTCCTTAGAAGTTTGCAATCGTAATGCAATGAGCGTCATAACGAATGAATGAATAAATAAGATCATTAATTAATAATTAATGAGATACTCTTATTTGGTGATATTTGAAAGTTATACGTCGCTAAATATAATCATTCATAATATAATGCGATATTAATCACCATGTATAAAACCAGCAGTTTTAGTAATGACTTCAAAACATCTTCCATTCATAACCTCTATAATAGATTCGCCCATAGGCCATCGTAATTGTTTTATTATACTCACTGCAACTAATTTACATATTCTACCTGCAAGAATGAATTCGTATGCTACATCAGCGGCCAGGCGGTCGGCTAACGTGTACGCTGCTATATTCGAAATTTCTCATACTTTCGAGCTCCTTAGAGTCGCCTTAACAAAGCATCTTCAATAACAAATCTGCGGAAGAGGTCCTAAATTTTCCACAATCTTAATTAAAAGTTCAGTTCATTTCGTCGAAAGTGAGGTTATATTACTTCAAATTTCTTCGAAACAATAAATCTTCTGAACCTAAAGCTATAAGGTCAGAAAACAAATTTAAATTGTCATTGGTAATTATGTAATCATGCCACCTGATTGAGTTTTAATGAATTACTGTTTTTTTCTTCTTCAATGACAATGAGAAATTTAGTTTTATATGTCTGTTATTATCCAGGCTTCATGGAAGAACAGAGCTTATAAGCATGGAATGCAGTCCTTTTTCCTTTTGTTCCACGTGTAATTGCATTTTTTATAAGAAAACGAGAATAAAGCTTATTATCTTCAAGTAATTTTAGTAAACAGTTAACAGTTATTAAGGGACATCGACATTAATAATCGGATTAAGTAAATAGCAGTAAAATAGGTTAGGTATCGGAAGAAGGAAAACCTAAACCGACATCCGACAACCGACTACCACTAAGCGGATAAGTACACTTTTTGTTTATTTTTATTGTTTATTTGCATAAATTTGAAAATTGAATAGTTAAGTATAAAATGGAAAATCCGATTCATGATATAATTTGCTCATTATTAGAAATGCCTTTTTCAAGGCTTAAAGATGCAGATCGACGAGATGAATATTCTAAAACCCGACAAGAAACATGGGTAAACTTTTTCGCGCTCTTTTAAAAGCCAGTGGTATATGAGTCACCAATGGCTAGTCATTACAATGTTTATTCTGCTGGCCCTGTTTACTACTTTCGAATAATAGAAACAATGTTTGGGTTTCTCAGGGATTTTCAGATTTAAAGAATTTATCTGCTTGCATTAAGAAGCATGAATTATCAAAAGATCATATGAGTAGTTATTTAAGTTTAAAGCGGTTAGAAAAAAACACATCGGCAATTAGAGATGCTTTCGAAATTCAATCATCTATGTCGGTCAAGTTATTTAATGAAGATGTACGAAAAAATAGAAAATTACTGAGCTATTTAATAGATGTAACTTGTCATTTTGGTAAAACAAGAATTATGATTTAGGGGACATAATGCAAAAAATGATTCCCTTAATGCTGGAAATTTCCGGGAAACATTTAATCTGTTAATTAAACGTGATAACGAAATTCAAGAACATTAAAAAAAATTGGAAATATCTTTTCTGGACTATCTAAAACAATACAAAACGATTTAATTACTTGCATTTCGGATACATGCGGAAATAAAAGACTCACGCCCGGTTGCAAGAAAGCGAATTATAATCGAAATCCAAGATTATTTGCCAAATCCGAGATTAAACAAAAATTTTAGTTGCATGATCAAGTATTGGATTAAACTAATCTTGATTATTCTAATCTAAGTTTATTCCTACTATAATCCCTGATTACGTTGGTTTTGGGTTGCATGAAGCTGTAATCCTACATTTGTCATTGATTAAATCAAAATTATTCTAATTCGTCAAATCGGAGAATTAAACTGGAATTATAACGACAGAACTAGGGAATGCAATCCCGCGGCAAAATTTTGATCCCGGTATTTGCGGGATCGTTTATGTTAATCCCGAGGGATCCCGCAAAATTTTAAATGTATTGGGAAATATGCAATTTTGTGCGGATTAACCGAATATTCTCCAACAAAACATATCGTATTTCCCGGAAAGGATGCGTCACATCCGCTTTCGGCCTCCACGTTTATCTGGATTTCTAGAATATTCACTACAATTAATACAGCCATACTGTACTACTAAAGTTTTTATAAACCATCGACGAGTATACAGGGTGTTTTAAATTGAGTAGGATGATTATCTCTGTTATTGTTAAACTTACGTACAGATTCGGTTAAATTGGCAAAGTTGTGTAGTTTTTGATGCTGGTTGATATTTCGACGCGATATTTTGAAAAAATAATTCTTTTTGTAGATAATTGGAAAAAAAGTGAAAATCGCCATTTTTAAAAAGGTCAATATTTTAGTAACAAAGAGAACTATCGAAAAAAGTTTCAAATAAAAGTTGCAGGATTCGATCGTATAAATTAAATGGACGTAGAAAAAAAATTTTCAAAATGGCGGTTTTCGAGATATTGATTTACGGACGACCTGTACGTATCTGCATTTCTCCGTTACGCGTTTTATTAATAAATTTTAAACAACGTCGTAAATTTTGCAATCCCGCAAATCCCGCGGGATCCCGCTTAATTTCTGTACGGGATTAATCCCGCAAAAATGCTGCGGGATCCCGGTATTTCGAGATCCCGCGATCCCGGTATTGCATTCCCTAGGCAGAACGTACAAATGTCAGATAGGTACATCATTATCAAGTCTGGAAAGCGACAATGATGAATTGGTTTTGCCTAGGCCAAGACTATTTACAGACAGGGCAAATCCAATGGAAAATTATGATGACCTCGATTTCAAACAGCGCTTCCGATTTTCAAAGACCCCGGTACGGAAAATGTTGAAATGTTTCTTGCAAGGATGGCTTTGAGACATTAGTTAGAAATAACTCCTGTGGGGGTGTTTCAGGAGTGATTAGAGGTATCACAAATTCCATAGTAGGGGTACATTTGAGAGTGTATCCAAATCACAGAGATCCTGGGGGGGCATGGGAAGGCTACATTAGATGTGTTGGTAGGAAGGTGACAGTGCCTTGTGACTCCCCAGGGGTATCATTCCCAATATCCTGGCCAGTAGACTGTGGCCCAGACTTGAATATAGTTAGTAAAGATGTATCAGACAGTGAAGATATGGGCATGGATCCTGAAGATATGCTAACCAATGCACATGGGGGAAGAAAAATAGAGGATTGGAAAAACAAGTTCAAAAACTTTTTTTCTAAAGGGTGGACTGGGCTAATCCCTGCATCACCAATCATGATATTAATTGTTGGCATCTTAATAATTAGAAGATGAAGAGCTATCTTTAATCACCTATTCTAACCCTTCTGTTTTTTAGATTAAGTTTGTTATTCTTATGTATTCCCTTAGTATTAATTTAGTTTTAAAAGTTATTTATCTTATCATTATAGTTATAGAGCTAATCCTTAATAACCATTATACTGTATATAATGAAACGAGAAACCCGATCGTGGACTAATCTCGGCTTATATGTAACTCCGGATTTCCTAATTCATGTATATTCCAACCGTCTTGCAACCGGCCGTCATTATTTTATTTTCAAACGTCGTTTAACTGTAGTTATAGCGACAGTTTTATGAAGGTTTAAGTGTCACTTTTTTGACACCTATTTTGAGCGGCGTATAAGTGTTATACTCCGGCGGCGTATAACATTTATACGCCACTCTAGTGAAAACAAAATACACACTTAGCATTTACGTCCACTAACTTTATATTTCTATTTATCAAATCAAACAAAACTATAGGCACCTTTTCTGAAGAAAATTATTCTACTTGATGTTAAAATTAAACGTGCAATTATTTAAAGTGGCATTTTGTAACATTGCGCTTGTATTAGATTCTGAAATCTTCCCGAAATCTTTATGAATTTTCACTGTATCATGCAAAAGGATCATGGTGGCAATGTCTTCTTTATTCTTTAACGATTCTTCGATATGTAGGTACCCTGCAGGAACTGTATCAGATTTCCATCCTCCATGTCTGTGTTAAACAGATAATGTCACCTCTGCAATCTGCCAACACAGTTGAAGAAGGCCTCCTCAAGAAATGACCAGTATATTCCTTCCCATTTGGCATCTTGAAGTATATAGGACCATTTCGGTACCGTAGACGGTAGATAACTGCTTTACAAAAACTAAAATTGTCACTTATAATTGCACAAGAGGTTTGTATTTTACCGAGTAAATTTGGGTTGTTTAGGTAATGAAAATCTGTTGCCTAGCAATTAGACGAGAAAAACTGTCAATAATAAAAATGCGACACCGCAGGTGGAGCATTTTTAGGTTGACAGTTTTTCGAGTCCAATTGCTAAAAGGAAACAGATTTGAATTGCCACAACCCAAATTTACTCGGTTTAAATACAAACCTCGAGTGTAATTCGGCAGGACAATTTAACGAACAAGAAATTCACCAACTAATCAATTATTGACAGACGTCAAACTAGTCATATGGGAAAGGATAATGCGATAATTGGTTCGAAAATGAATAAGTGAAAAAACCACTAGTGCATTTGTCGCTGGAAAAGTTGCAGGTAACTTTTGCCGCTGTCAAAGTGACAATTTCACTGCGGCTTATGCGATTTTTTATACATGAGTTGAATTGTCGCTGAAATACCACACGTGAAATTATCACTATAATTCGTTCCCATTGGCTCAACAATTTGAAATCTCGACATTTCACTGGTCGAAATGTGACAAATGTTAGATGAATTGAATAGTCAAGTTTACTTTAGTGAAATTGTCAGTTTGAGTTATACTGTAGTCATGGATACAAAGCAATGTTATGCTGATATTATTTGCGGTACATATTGAGTGCATCTTTACCTATTTCCTACATTATATGTAAATGACGTTTGAAAATAAAATATAGTATTTCATTCGAAGTATAAGTTACTTTATGTGACTCGTATGAATTTAACTCGCCTCGCTACGCTCGGCGTTTAAACTTTCATACTCAGCCACATAAAGTGTAACTTATACTC